AAGACCCTGTTGCTGTCAGAATAAACAAGTCGGTGCTGCAGCTGAATGACATCCTCATTTCTCAAGCAGGCTTTTTCCCCCTTTTGTAAGATGGGTATTTACAAGCCGTTGGGGGGAAGCCCGGTCAATTAGGTCGCACGGTGCCAATTATTCCAAGATATCTAACTAGTGGCATGCTAGAATAAAAATTGTCAACGTATAAATGGTACCCCATATGGAAAAAGGATGACACCAAGTCCAAAACTATCTTACCACTGCTCCCCATGTAGTCTGGGCATCCGGGGGGGGCTCCACGTGACTTTTCCCTCGTAAATTCGAAAATTATATGTATAGCTTGTTGCCCTCTCACAGGTCTTATACATTTTGACCCCATATCTGGCACACTTGCTGGGGGAGAAATTGTTTGAATGCAAGGCATACAGAAAAATTAACGAGGGACTCATCAACGCAGATGTTTTGCTGGGGTGTGTAGACATCTGCAAATTTTTGGTTAAGGTGATTTACGAGGGGCCAAATTTTGTGCAGCCAATCAAATTCAGGGTCATCTTGAGGACAACAGAGTGTGTTGTCATTGAAATGCATAAAACACATTATACTCTCATATCTATGCCTGGCCATGGCAGCAGAGAACACAGGCATATGATGATTCGGGTCTGTGGACCAATATAACCGCAATGAATTTTTTTAGTAATTCCCAAGGTTAGGCCCAAAAAAAGTTACATTCGGAAACTATAATGGGTTTCCATGCAAATGGTCTGGCAAGGTTTGAATTTAGGTTGACGGTGATAAACTCTTGTGCATATAAATTGCTTTGATCCACAATCAATGCATACAGATCTTCTGCGAAAAACAGCTCCAAAAAATCAAGGGGAGTATTTAAATTTGCTGTTTCCACCTGAATTCTGGTTTGGGCAGTGAATGGGGGAAGTACGGGTGCTGCAGACTTTGTGGGCTACCAATAGGGATTTTCAAGTATATCCGGAAGGATACTAGGAGCTCTACGGGCCTGTGTGCGAATTTGTGGTGGCGAAGGGACACTACTTGTACTTGCCACTGCACTAGCTTGTACTGCACTTATGGGACTCGCCATGTCACCAACTGATACTGCAGTGCTGGTATGTGAAAGACCATGATGTACTAGGCCGCTGGTGCTCGCCAGTTCACCAAAAGGTAGAGAGGCACTGGTACTGACACTCTGCTGCATATGAGAGTCATCATGCAATTGAAACATCTCAGCAACCTGGGAACGGGGTTGGGTACGCCTGACCATAGCAGGGACCCCTTCTTCATTGTCTGAGCTATCTTTTGGGGTGCCGCTTCCATGTACAGTTTCATATTCTGAGGCTGATTGTGTCAGTGAGTCTTCCCCTTCACTCTCATCTGACATGCTCAGAATCCTGTAGGCCTCTTCACTAGAGTACCTTTCCATTGACATTTTGGCCACTAAATTTATAGGTACCTAGTGGGACTCACGGGAAAAAGCACCTGGCTGTCAGGGACTGCTTGAACGACTACAAAAAAATTTACTGGCAAAGTGGTAACAGAGATCAGGCCTGATTCTGCGAACACTGCGGTTTTGTGTACAATGTATCAAGTGACAGTGACCTACTGACACTGCACTTGCTGGGGAAGAAGGGAGGGTAAGCATAGGGGCTAAACGCAGGTGCTGGCAGGTGCCGGGCCTGATCCCGCCAATGCAGCATTTTTGGGGACACTATGCTAATGTGAACGCTGGTATAGTGCTGATCTGATCAAAGATATTGGTCCGTTCAGACACTATACTAGCAATAGAGGTTTACTGTGTATGTGAGCGTGTTCCTGGCAATCAAGGGGTTAAATGCTATCTGGGAGGACCGTGAAATAAATATACGTGATTTTGCGCACCCGTGCCGCCCTGTAGCGGTATTTCTACTTATAGGGCGGCGCGGAAGAGGTTAAACACGTCCAGTAAAAAAATTTTAAAAAATCAAATTTCGGCATAAATTTAGGCCAAAATGTATTCTCCGACATGTCTTTGCTGATAAAAATCCCAATACATGAAAATTAATTGGTTTACGTGAAAGTTATAGCATTTACAAATGGCAGTATAGATACTGGAATTTTATTTTTTTACTAATAATGGCGGCTATCAGCGACTTTTAGCAGGACTGTGGTGGGAATTTTGACACTGGGGGAAACTGACTTGGTGTCACTGACATCCCCAGTGACACCAATACAGTGATCAGTGCCAAAAAAAAAGTTGGCTGTGCACAGCCATCCAGAGCAGTGTGCCTGAGCCAACAGGGAGGAGGACTGTTAGTAAACAAAGCAATCCTCCTCCCTGTCGGTGATCGTCGGTAATCACTGGGCGCTGGCGGGTAATCACTGGCCGGAACCCGGTGATAGACAGCTCGGCCACGAACAGCGGTGCAGGTAGGGTGCTTACGTGCACCTCCTACCCAGAGATGCAAAATCACACACATACAGTTTTGTTCAAAATAATAGCAGTGTGTTGAAAAAAGTGAATAAAGCTCAAAATCCTTCTAATAACTTTTATTTCCATACACACAAATGCATTGGGAACATTACACATTCTATTCCAAATCAAAACATGAAGAAAAATAAATCAAATTTGTGTTGTTCCTCTAAAAAAATTGAAGAAAAGTGAATATTAGACAGTTCAAAAAAATAGCAGTGTTTGTATTCTTCTTTACAAACTCAAACATTCACTATATAAACTGAAAAATGTTTGAAGATTTTGCTTTCCTTTGAATCCCTTAATTAAGATTTAGTTGTATAAGCACTGTTTCTGAGAACTGCTATACATCTGTGTTGCATGGAGTCAACCAACTTCTGGCACCTGTGAACTGGTATTCCAGCCCAGGATGATTGGACTACATTTCACAGTTCTTCTCTATTTCTTGGTTTTGCCTCAGAAACTGCATTTTTGATGTCACCCCACAAGTTTTCTATTGGAATAAGATCCGGGGATTGGGCTGGCCACTCCATACAATCAATCTTGTTGGTCTGGAACCAAGATGTTGCACGTTTACTGGTGTGTTTGGGGTCGTTGTCTTGTTGGAACACCCATTTCAAGGGCATTTCCTCTTCAACATAAGGCAGCATGACCTCTTCAAGTATTCTGATGTATTCAAACTGATCCATGATCCCTGCTATGCGATAAATAGGCCCAACACCGTAGTATGAGAAACATCCCCATATCATGATGCTTGCGCAACCATGCTTCACTGTCTTCACAATGTACTGTGGCTTGAATTCAGTGTTTGGGGGTCGTCTGGCAAACTGTCTCTGGCCACTAGACCCAAAAAGAACAATCTTACTTTCATCAGTCCACAAAATGTTGCGCCATTTCTCTTTAGGCCAGTCAATGTGCTCTTTGGCAAATTGTAACCTCTTCAGCACATGTCTTTTTTTCAACAGTGGGACTTTGCGGAGGCTTCTTGCAGATAGCTTGGCTTCACATAGGAGACTTCTAATTGTAACAGTACTCACAGGTAACTTTAGACCTTCTTTGATCTTCCTGGAGCTGATTGTTGGCTGAGTCCTTGCCATTTTGGCTATTCTTCTATCCATTCGAATGGTAATTTTCTGCTTTCTTCCACGTCTTTCAGGTTTTGGTTGCCATTTTAAAGCATTTGCGATTATTTTAGCTAAGCAGCCTATCATTTTCTGCACTTCTTTATATGTTTTCCCCTTTCCAATCAACTTTTTAATCAAGGTACGCTGTTCTTCTGAACAATATTTGGAACGACCCATTTTCCTCAGAAGTTCAGAGAGAATTGCACTGTAACCAGCATGTACAACATTTGCTGCCTTCCTTCCTTAAATAAAGGCAATAATTGCCACCTGTTTTTCAAAGAATGAATGACCTCACTAATAGAACTCCACACTGCTATTATTTTGAACATGCCCCTTTCAATTAATGATGCAATTACACAGAATCAGCAGCATGCATGTCATGACTGTTGGGTCTGTTGGATTTCTACTACACCTGTTAGTAAATTATTTGCCATGTAGAAATAGAATTTCTACCAAAAACAGTCACTGATCAGGTTAGTGATGTCTGACTGCTATTATTTTGAACACAACTGAATATATGTGATTTTGCGCACCCGTGCCGCCCTGTAACAGTATTTCTGCTTTAGGGCGGTCGGGAAGCGGTTAAGGGGGGATAGGATCAACATGTATAAATACAACAGTGGTTCATATAGTGAACTTGGGGTAGAGTTATTCACCCTGAGGACACCACAGAGGACAAGGGGGCACTCTTTATGTTTGGAGTAAAAGAAATCTCCAAATACGGAAAGGTTTCTTCACAATAAGAGCTGTGAGAATGTGGAATAGACTCCAAGAGTTGGTTCTGGCCAGCTCAGTGGATTGCTTTAACCACTAGCCTACAGGGCACTTATACCCCCTTCCTGCCCAGGCCAATTTCCAGCTTTCAGCACTGTCACACTTTGAATGACAATTGCGCGGTCATGCAACACTGTACCCATATGGAATTTTTATCATTTTTTTGAGACAGATAGAGCTTTCTTTTGGTGGTATTTAATCACATTTGGGATTTTTATATGTTCTTAAACAAAACAAAAACCACTGAAAATTTTGAAAAAAAAAGTTTTTTCTTAGTTTTTGTTATAATTTTGTAAATGAGTGATTTTTCTCCTTCACTGATGTGCGCTAATGAGGCTGCAGTGATGGGCACTGATAGACTGCACTGATGGACACTGATGAGGAGGCACTGGTAGGTTGCACTGATGGGCATTGGCAGGCATCACTGATGGTCACTGAAAGGCAGCAATGATACATGACACTGATATATGGCACTGATAGGCGGCACTGACTGGCACTGATAGGCAGCACTAACTGGCACTGTTAGGCAGCACTGACTGGCACTATTAGGTGGCACTGACTGGCACTGATAGGCGGCATTGACTGGCACTGATGCGCACTGATAGGCGACACTGACTGGCACTGATAGGTGGCACTGACTGGCAGCACTGATAGGTGGCACTAATTGGCATTGATAGGTGGTACTGACTGGCACTGATGAGTGGCATTGAAAGGCAGATCAGATGGGCACGGATATGTGGTATTGATGTGCACTGGTATGCACTGATATGTGGCATTGATGTGGCACTGATGGGCACTGGCAGGTGGCATGGATGAGCACTGACTGACTGATGGACTTTGACAGGTGGCACTGCTGGGGCTACACTGATCATCAGTGCCCTGATGATCAGTGTACATGATCCGCGGAAAGCCGGTTACCGGCTCTCCCCTCCTCTCGAGCTGTCAGTGTGACAGCTCGAGAGGAGAGAAATGCCTATAACCGGCATTTCCGTGTTTACATGTGATCAGCTGTGATTGGACACAGCTGATCACATGACCGAGCCGACATCTTCGGCTCTCTCTGTGATCCGCTGTGTCCGAGGGACACAGCGCACCGGCGATCACCGCGCTGCACGCTCCCTGAGCCGCGCATGCGCGGTGAGAATGGAAGGACGTCATATGACGTCCTATCAGAACGAGAGAACCACCTTGCACCCGACATTGTACTATATGGTGGGCGGAAGGTGGTTAAAAGAGACCTGGATTCTTTCTTGGATAAACAGAATATAACTGGTTACTAACATTTATAGGTAAAGTAGATGCAGGGAATATCCGATTGCCTCTCAGGGGATCAGGAAGGAATTTTTTCCCCTGCAGGAGCAAATTAGATCATGCTTTGTTGGTTTTTTTTGCCTTCCTCTGGATCAACTGTGGGTGCAGGATTATAACTTTTTTCATGGTTGAACTGGATGGACTTTTGTTTTTTTTCAAGCAGACTAGCTATGTAACTATGTAACTTAAAGCCTAAGTTTGGTTAGAAACGTTTCAGGGGGAAACAGCAGCTGGTGCATAACTTACCCCTTATGAAGTGTATCCAATGTCCTGTTGGCTGCTCATTACTGTAAAAATCCTCCACTCAATGATGCCAGATCTTCCTCAATGAACTTCCATCCCTGTATGGAATCTAACAGTAAAGGGTTTCACTGCTTGCCCCCCCCCCCCCTCTGTCCTTCACAAAACTCACTGTATCATTTTCAAAATATGCAAGACATTCAGTAAAGGGACCCTGTTATTCATCAACTTCTCCATTAATAGAATGCAATGTTGCTATGTTGTTTTTTTTTATTTTTGTATGTATCTATGTTTGGAGAATATACCCTCACTTCCTGAATCTTAGGTTCTAATGCATTGTCACTCTATCCAAATCAAATAAGAATTGTGTCTAATAACACGCTTTAAATATCCCTTTAAGAACTGAAAATATGCAGTTTTTTAGTAGTCCTTATATAGTATCATAAACATTTGTTAGATGAAACTTTACCTTGAACATTGCAGCTTGCGGTTCCCCTAGCTCATGGAATGGGGGCCTTCCAGTTGCCATTTCAATAATTGTACAGCCAAGAGACCAAATATCAGCAGGCGCTCCATATCCTCTGGGCCCTTTATCTATAATCTCCGGTGCCATGTATTGTAATGTGCCTGAGCAAGAAAGTATAGGACAAATCATGTTAAAGCTAAGTATAAAGAGAACATATGTAAGAAAGTCATAAATAACAGCTTTGATCAGTAGTAGGGATGCACCGGTACCTTTTATTTTTTATTGGCGAGCACGAGTACCGATACTTTCGGTCAAGTACTCGTCAATACCGATTACAGATACTTTGGGGTGCAATTTGTGTTAATAGATCATTGAGCATGGGATGCTTGCAGGGAGGTTTCCCGCACTGCTCCTGTTTGAACTTGGGCTATGAAAAGACTGAGTTCACACAAGAGCAGTGGAGAAATCGCAACTGATTTGGGCAGGAATCGCATTCCTGTTCAAATCACATGCTAATCTTTGCAGTGCAATTTTCGGCCATTGCACCGCAAATGGTTAAGGTATCGGGAGTATTTTCAGGAGTAGTCATGAAAATACTCGGTATCGGTGCATCCCTAATCAATAGAGATTACAATTACATTGTATTCTTACAAAAAGAGGTTTATCACTTGGCTCAATGAATAAAGTGTTTACTTCAGTTATGTGCAGCATGATTAGTTCTTCAAAATGAACATAGCTTCATCTTATACACCAAGCTATAGCTGGCCACAGATGGATAGAATTTTGAACAAAAATTCTTAGGTAAAGCTTTAGGAAAATGTGTACAAAAATTCTCAAAACATTCAAATGTCAGTTGAAAGATTTTTTTGCTTTTAACTCTAGATTTTGGAATGAATGGACTTTACAGAACAAAAACCGCTGTTAGTAATTCATTAATTCGAGAAAATGTTTCCATCCTGCTTTTTCAAATTGTTTCATCACTCTAGCCGAAATGAATTTTGATTTGACCCACTGATTAGAAAAATGAACAAACTGTCTTAGAACATTATTTTCCTAAGAATGTTCTTTCAAAAATCTAATCAATACCCAGCTTAAGTAAACAGTTTTTACTAAATTAACCTCAAAATCTACAATGGGTGAATTATCACCATTAGAGTTGGTAAGATAAACCTTATAAGAAGCCATCAAGTGATTCTTCCAATTGGTGCTCACCCAGAACTGAAGTATAGGTTGTAGCTGGAGATACGTACTGTAGTTAGATAGTTAGTTAGATATTAAAAATCCCTTGTAATTATATCACTTTGGCACAGTCATTTATTTCCTAGGGTAATTTAGCTTTATCCAGCCAGCTTCTTAGGAAGATTAGCATATGATTTGTATCTACAGTATTGGTAGAATGGTTATTCTGTACTAGGTATACAAAAAGTACATGCTTTTTTATGCTTATGGAAGACACCAGAGCATTCCACAGCTGTCGTTTGGAAATAGTTGTTCTATAATTTTGTTCACAGAACATCCTGTTGCCATTATACAGTATTTATTTTGAGAAAATAACACACACCTGTGCATATACTGTACAGTAATTGTGCTTATATTTGCTAAGATGTGCAACTTAGGCCCCTTTCACAAGGGTGGACAGCCAGCAGACCCAATCAGACCATCCACTGTTCTCTATGGAGAGGTGGATGTAAACACACACGTGTCTGTTTACACCTGTCTGCATCTGATCTGACCTGCTAAAAACAGACAGATGGGGGATCTGCTCCCCTTTCATCTAGTGGATTGGTTTGGATGGATGACAGTCGGATGTAAACATATAGGCAGTCTGTTTATATCTGAAGGTCCCTTAGAAAACAGCGGGCTGTGTCCATGTCTGCTCTGCACAAGTGGAGCGGACACTGATCTGTCATCCGCCTGCTCAGCAGGGATCTGCAAACAGATACCCTGCTAAGCAGGCTTACCAGTCTGCCCACATGAAAGGGGCCTTATAGTTTTATTTCCTCCAGTGCCTGCTGCCATCTTTCAGTTGATGGCAGCACATCAATGGAGGGAGTAAATCACAAAGGCCACAATCACATCTGGGTATTTGTGACCTCCGGCAAAATTCTGCATGCAATTCCAAAGCACCCTGTAAAAGTGACAAATCACACCACATGTTTGGGTGCCGTTAATTTTAAATAGCAGCTAAGTACCGTATGCTCCTGCCGCGACTGACGCACAATAAGTCGCCATGCAATCAGGCCAAACCACACTGCACAAAGCTTGTTGCCCAAAAGAAGCTCCTGCTCCTTTTTGGGCGATAAGCTTCATGTGTCGAGGTTTGCCACAACAATTGCAGCAGAACCGCACTGAGTTTAGGTGCCATTAAAAATGAATGGCACCCAAACATGTGATTTGTCAGTTTGCAGAGCACTTTAGGATCGCCTGCAGAATTGCAGAAATTCTGCCAGAAATCATAAATGCCCAGATGTGAATGGGGCCTTAGTGATTTCCTTGCAAATGCCCAGATGATAAAGCCTGAATAACTGATAAGTATTGCAACTGAGGTCATAAATATTGTATTATTCTTTTTCTTTTGTATTATGAAATTGACAATCTCTAATCCAAAAACAGAGTATAACAAAGTCAATTTATCTTATGTTATAATTTGGTTTGTGAGTTCCTGTGTCCCCACAGGTGGTAGGTAATGAAGCTACACTCGTTAGTAAATGAATGTGTACTGTACCATGATAGAGCCAGACAGCTCAACACTGCCTGAATTTGAGCTGAATTCAAAGTACAAGATAACAATGAAAGGTACCAGACGGTTCAGAGTTTACTTCAGTGATGGACAGAGGAGATCATGGCTGCAGCTCTCACTAGAGAAGGAGAATAAAAAAATGTGTGGAACTGCTGAGATAGATTTTGCTTTCTGCACTGTTAGAACTTGTAGTTCTGCATTGTCTTTGTGGCTTTCTGGCCACTGGGACTTTAACATTCGCTCTTCCTTCAAATGCTGCCTGTGTGGCCTTGAAGCTGGGGCCAGCACACACAGCCCTTCGAGGACCCGCAATGGGTTTGTGAAGGATCTCTGCCTTCTGGACCTCCCTTTTCCTGCCACTCTGTCTGGCCTTCCTCCGCTGTTACCGGTTTTGGCTGTTGAGTCCCTTCCTTCATGCCATGCCCTATGCTGAGAACTTAACCCTGGCTGTGCCCCTGTGCTAAGGACTCAACCCTTGCTGTGCTCTGTGCTAAGGACTTAACCCCTGCTGTATCAGACTGTTGCCTGCTACTCACTGTTTATGGACTGTTGCCTTGTGACTCTGGACTACATCCCTGCTGTACTAGATTGCTGCCCAGTGCCTCTGAACTTATTCCTTGATGTGCCCTATTGCCACCCTGTTATATTTAAGTAAGTGTTCTTGCATGGCAAGACCACTTACTGTTATCTCACATATATATTCTTATTATTATAGCCAAATTTACCACTCTAACTCCTCCCACAGTTTTTACACTACATAGACGGTAATATACCGAAACGTGCGGATTGTTCCCGATTGGTGTGCTATTACTTTGTGGATCGTTTCGCCGAATGGTTCACGAAATATCAGCGTTTTTGTGGTGAAATTGGTCCCATAGGAATGAATGGCGGAATGTTCAAAACTAGAGTGGGAGCTGACAAAAACTAGAGTGTGAGCTGAAAAATCAGGACATGATTTCTAAACTGCCATCACTCCCTCATTTTCAAGCCCACCTACACAAATCTTATATCAAAACGTTCAGCTATCCCTGCTGCCACTAAAAATGTCCATGGCTAAGCCATAGTCCTGATAGTTTTCACAATATGACCATTTGTTTGCAACTCACGCCGCCCATTGACATTCATTGAAACTCCACTCTAGCCACCTCAAATTTGAAAGGCAATGTCTAAACTGCGACTGTGCCTTCATTTGTAATATTTCAGAGACATACTATGCATCAAAATATAGGC